GAATAATTAAAAAGAATATTTCAATGAAAACATTTTCGACGAATTATTTATTATTATAAACAATTACTAAAGAAAGTAATGTTTTTAAAATGATGTAAATCGCTCATGACGATTAATGCACAAACGTTTGGGGAATGTACAGTCACATATTATGAGTGTGTCAGCGAGCAAATCAATATTCCATAGCGTTGGTATATCAATTTGCAATATGTGATACGCTTAACTGTTGGCATAAGCCAGGAAAATACCCTTTTATCGTTAAATGATTTAATTTTGGACACGTATAATCTGGTACTAACTTTTAACTGGTCGACACCTTCTATATTTACATCATTGAGCAACAAAGTGTGGATTTCGCGACTCTTGAATAGCGTGTTCAACTGCTGAATAGCACCACTATTCTGGCTAATGACCACTGATACATTGTAACCTTCCTGCGTACAGACGATTTATTGCATCCACAGCCTTTGTGTCATTCAGATCGATAGTTCCACAGTCGGAATCTTCTTTGTGATAAGCAGCAATGTTGATCGACGGAATGGCTTCCTAAATATATTTTGAAAAGAGACAGTTATAATATATGGTTTATAAACGAAAGAACACCAACTTTCTAAGCTATTGGTCGTGTTTAGCAAATTGACAGTATTTGCAAACTCAAGAAACTATTTTGGCTTAGAGACTATATTTTGTGGTGGATATGACCTCACATGCTGAGAAATGGATATCTATGTATGCTAAATATAATACCTTTGCTCGCATAGACAGGTATGCTTATACATTTATCTAAATGAAGACATTCTCGAAGGTGTCTTACGTCGAGCGCAAGATATTTACATAGACCTAACTCCCGTACGCGGTAGCGAGGCAATTACCGAGGGACTTTGCAACATCCCCAGACACTTTCCTAGACACTCCAATGACAGTTGTAAAGGCAATAAAGTTACATACAAGCTCACGTGCCAGTTAATCAAAACACCGGACTCGGTGATGTGTGGCCACGAGAAACGAGGGGTAATTGGAACACTTGGCAGAAATATAATACGATCATAAAACTGGGATTGAATATTAACAAGAAATGATAAAGATCAATTATTTTGATAGGTAGTTTGTGAGATGTTGTGAATAGATTTATATTAGTAATATTATTAATATTAGTTGTGAGTGTCCCATTCAATTTTTCGCATTATGGCTGGTCCCATTGCCAGTTTTCCAGAATACTCATCGCCCAGTTATTCTTCCCTGGAATCTTAGTTTCACCTCCACACCGTCACCATATAACAGTTTCAAATATCCTTCAGATCTCAGAAAAAAATCGATAAACTCAACAATTTCTTGAGTAACGTTAATTCAGTCGACGACGGCCGCTACTCCTCTCGGAACGTATCCAAACGATGCGACAGAAATGCCGCACAATCCCTTGAACCGTCACCCTTGCTAGTCCAACTTCCCCCGTCGTCGATCATTCGCATGAGGCGAATAATCTCGCTCTCAGTTTCTTCGTCTAAACGCCTTGACATAATAGCAATAATTGTTCAAAATAAGAAACTGCATTCAAAACTAAACTGTTCTCACGAGGGTATTACATTACGTTTTTAAATATTTGTATCAACTAGGTTTATTATTTTCGCGAAACGTTCAAAATAGAATTTATTAAATAAACGAGCATTATGTATGCATGAAATAATAAAGTGTCCTCTATCAACGATAAGTAAAACATGATTGTTCGATGAATATTTGACTGGACGCTTACACGTTGTAATAGTTGAACCCATCTGAAACCCTGGTCCGTTGTTTTGACTAATTGTCACGTAGGCGTGCATGTAACTTTATTGCGCTTACAACGGTCACTGGAGTGTCTAGGAAAGTGCCTGGGGATGTTGCAAAGTCCCTGGGTAATTGCCTACCGGGTGCGGGAGTAAGGTGTATGTAAATATCTTGCGCTCGCTGTAATTGAATACTATTATGGAACACTTTATACTTTATTAATTTTTTTAAGGGATTATTGAATATAAATACATACGAACCATTGGAAGTGTGATGAACGGCCATTTTTGAATGAAAAAATCTGAATTTTGTCATTACAAACTGGGGCAAAATAGCTCTCAATCAAATTATCTAACTATGCATATATAATGATAAACTTGAAGTCATACACACCAGTGGTTTACGGAGTATCTCTTCAAGTGTCATGTCGTCTGTCTATGATTAATGAAAAAGAGATTAAAGTAAATAAATGGATTACATCATAATTTGTTTAACTATAAAATCATAAAAGTTTGATTTGCAGCCACTGAATATGTAATATAA